AGTGCCGAAGGTTGTGTTGCTGTGTAGACGCTCACGCAGTTTCATCGCCAAAAGGCACTTTTCCTCGGCAAAACTTGCCAGTGTAGACAAAGCCTCTGGATGTGCTTAGAATACACCGCTTTTAGCGACATGGCTATGCCCACAGAGCCGTGTGGTTAAAAGTCAAGCTTTTCGCAAAGGAGATCTTCTGCAAAAACTTCTTGCGCAAAATTGTGTCCACATGTCAAAAGCACATCACACAAGCGATGTTCTTTTGCGCAAGAAAGCATCCACACTGCATGGAACTCGTGTGCAAGAAAGCTCTGATGGCCATTCACAGAATGGCCATCAGAACACCTGTGGTTTTTCTGATAGGCTCTTTTTGCACAAGAAACCCCTGCAGAGCATCTACACACACCTTTTTGCGCAAGAGCTATAGTGCAAAAAGGAGTTATTCCCCGTGGGAAGAGGAATAACTCTACCGGCAAAAGCCCTCTGTCCTGCATACAGTATTCAAGATGTGGGGGTACCATGACTTTATATAGACAGGGGTGGCCCATGCGTATAGGCCGACTCGACGGTTGCCTAGGGTGCCGCCTTCAGCGGGGTGCCCAATGATGATGTCAGGCGGGGCGCCTGAATGACATCACGGGGCGCCCAGGCGCCCGATGATGATGTCACAGCCATTGATGGCCGTGCAGGCAGGGGCGCCAATCGCGCCTTCCGCCTGGAGCGCCAGCTGCCGCAGCCGGCCTCGGGCCGCTCCTGTATATAGAGGCAATCTGATATTTTCTGTCTTATATCTATTGCTTTCCTAATGATTCCCAATAGTGTTACCTTTTTAGTTTTTAGACTGCCATTGCACATTGAACAGGTATTTTCAGGCAACTATCTACAAGGATTCCAAGACCTCTTTCTTGAGTGGTAACAGCTAATTTAGACCCCACCATTTTTGTACGTAGAGTTGGGGTTATATTTTGCCCTGTGCATTACTTTGTATTTATCAACACTGAATCCCATCTGCTCTTGTGTTGCCCAATCACCCAGTTTTGTGAGATCCCCTTGTAACTCTTTGCAGTCAGCTTTGGACTGAACTATTCTGAGTAATGTTGTAGTATCTGCACATTTTGCCACCCCTTTTTCAAGAACATTTCTTACTGTACGTATAAAAAAGTTTTTCCTGCAGGACGCCAGAGTGACATCATCACATCACTCTGGAGTCCTGCAGCCCCTCCCTCCCTTTTCCCCAGTGCTGGCAGCCATGCCACGCCGTCCTTCCCTGTGCTTGGCAGCTGGGAGGAGAGTGCAGGGTGTGCGAGGCCTCACGGGGCTCCCCCTTTTTCAAGAACATTTCTTACTGTACGTATAAAAAAGTTTTTCCTGCAGGACGCCAGAGTGACATCATCACATCACTCTGGAGTCCTGCAGCCCCTCCCTCCCTTTTCCCCAGTGCTGGCAGCCATGCCACGCCGTCCTTCCCTGTGCTTGGCAGCTGGGAGGAGAGTGCAGGGTGTGCGAGGCCTCACGGGGCTCACGAGGCCTCGGAATGCCCCCCGCCCTCCAGCAGCCATGAGAGCGTGGG